GTGCAGCACGCGGCTTTGGTCACAGCTAGGAAAGCAACAGCAATAACGTGTTCGAGTGGGATCGGAAACTAGCTCAACGCAGTGACAGGAGTGGTCAGAAGAGATGGCATGAAAGAGAAGGGCTTGGTAAAAAGAAAAGGAGAGAAAGGAAAGGCTGAGGAAGGGGAGGAACCAGATGAAAATCCCCATTGTTGATTCAACACTGGGTGTGATCATACTTTATGCAGCAACTGGACTGCTGTCCTGCACCACCAAAATCTGTTCTGAATCCAGGAATAGAATTTCTCAGAAGTACTCTGTTCCCCTGTGGGTGGGGACCTTGGCCCAGGTCCTTAAGCATAATTAGGTTCCTAACTGCCACTGAAATCAGCGTGTCCTTGTGATTGTGGTTATCTCTAAAGCTCCATGCACTGCTAATGGCACTATACATAAAAACATTTCCCTCTGACTGCTGTACAATAGGTCTGTTTCGTAATAGATTGCACTTCATTACCCCAGAAAAATTCTCTCCATCTCTCTGTCCATCTATCTATCTTTTCACATCATGCCCATCCCATAACAGAATTGAGTGCTGAATCCTCTGAAAAGCTTCAATTCCATTAGATTCGTTTTCGGTGAGAGCAAAATGCACCGTGAGAAAATAGCAGCACCCCTTCCAAGTTGTTATTCCTATAAGTACACATTTTCATCTTGGAAAAAAGTGCTTATCTGTATTAGTGCAGGATAAGTGGTAATTACAAGCTACCATAGCCTGTTGCTTTTCCTGAATAAACAAACAAATGCTGTAATATTAGCACTAATGGAGGCTCTCAAAATGCTTCATTCTGGCAACTCTGCTGGTGGAAAATCCAGTCTCCTTTTGTCCCCATTGCTTCCCTCATTAAAATTCTTCTTGGACACAAAAGCCCTTTGGGCCGTTGAATCTGGCTTTGCAAACGGCAGGTGGCTTTGATGCGGTGCCCAGGGACATGGATGCAAAGTCCATGTGGTGGAACGGAACGTCACGCACATTGCTGTTGGATGGTGCCACATTTGTGAGAGACCTTAATGGTATGTGCAGGCAGGAGGGGACTAGATCTTCTAGCCCCTGCTTGGAAGTGGCGTTGCCTGTTACATCTTCCTCCCTGCTGACCTCCTCCCCTGAAACTGAAATGGACAAAAAGGAAAGATGAACGTAGTTGCACAGCAAAGCTTCTCATGGAGTCAGGAAAAGCAGCCAAGATCGAGCCCAATGTAGCCTGAATTCTCAAGCAAGATTGTTGGTACCAATGGGTATGTTACACAAACTGGGGAGCAGTCTGAGGCCTGACCTAAGCAGTTGGGTTCTTAGGGTACCCCATCCAAAGGGGTATTGAATCGGCACTGCAGTTCCCATGGAAACTTGCGGATAAGTCAGTCGTAAATCACCGCTTTCCAGCATCAGAGACCCTCCCTGTTGGCCTTCTCCATTCCAGCAGCATGTCACCTGCTACTCAGTCATACGTCTTTGGGTCTCTCATAGACCCCCAGGACCCTATGCTCTCAGCTCCCGGGACACAACTGCAGCTGATGCAGTTGAGTGGGGAGGTGTTGGGTTCTGGGCTGCATTTTGGCTTAGAGGCACCTGTCAGACCTCACTGAGCAGAAACAGGACAGTCCTTTCAGAGGATGGGTTAATACAGATGAGAGACTAGGTGAGTTACTGAGCTGTGTGCTTAGCGTGCATCCTCATTAAAGAGCACCAGGCACTGATGGGTCTGATGATGGGAACCATTAAGGTTTCATCTCAGAGTACTGACTAAGAGGGGGACTTGTCTGGGAATTGGTTATCCAGCCCCTTCCCAGATCAGAGGGCAAGGCACAGGCAGAGAGAAGGGTATAAGAGTGGAGGGACTTCACTCCACTGGCAGAGCACCTTATGTCCTAGCGGTTTAGGCATCTTCAGTCCCAACCTCAGAAGGTACGTCAGCTCTTTAGAAGACACCTCAGCTTTTTGGTGCAATATTGCCAAACAAAAGTGCTGAAAAATCATGAGTCAGGCTCCACAAATACTGAGATTGGGGTTAAAAATCAAGATTATTCGTAATACCACCTTTGGAGCTCTGGTCAGTTGCCTTTCAGTTTTTGAGCCTGTAGGGATCACATTTTCAAGCTTTTCTCTGCAACCACGGGGGCTAAAATCTTCCTTTTCTTTTTCATTGAGAGCTAAGATTCTGGTGTTTTCACATGATTCCAGGAGCTGGGGCTTTCAGATAATCGTGAATTATCATGAGATGCATTATAAAATCACAAGGGTTGGTGATGCTGCAGGTGGTAACCAATATTTTCCCTTTCCTATTTAAAGCTCTAATTGTAACCTCTTGTTCTTTCCTAGCAGCTGGTGGATTTATTACTCAATCATACCCTCATGGTGGTAGCTCATCTCACACGCTCTAAAAGATAGCATCTTGTTATTAATTTCACTCTGCAAGGAGAAAATATCTATTCAAGTGATCAGGAGAAGTATTATGGGAGGGAGTGGGGGTTATTTTTTCCTGAATCTTCCTAGAAGCCACCTTTTTTTAATTCTGTTTCCTTGCTTCTCACTGGTTGCTTAAGAACAAAACCAGACCAAATCACGTGGGCTAAAGGGATGGCTGCGAAAAATATTCTGTAAAGATCTTGGTAGACTTTGTACTTGTAGGTCAGAGGAAATCTTATAAAAAGTTCTCTCTTGTGTATAATGACTAGCACTGTGTGGAGGATGGAAGTTCTATTTCACAAAGGATTTTGAGATTTCCAAATCTGATATTGTTCTGAATTGGAGCAAAAACTGAATATTTTCATATTCTCCGCAAAGAAAATTCTGAGAAGAAAAATTGTTTCGGGTTGATTGAAACGTTTCATGTTGATTTTGACTTTAAATTTTTTTTAAGTCTTTTCGAAATAAAAAATCAAAAGATTTTGTTCCAAAAATGTTGCAGTGGGCTGTTTTGACTGTGTTGGAACTTTCCCTCCGTCCCCCAGTTTTCTTCTTAAATGAAATTCTGACAAAATTTACCTGATTTTGTGAAAGATTTTGATTTAGACAGAACTGCATATTCCAATGGAATATGATTCCATTGACGTTTCTCCAGCCAGCTTTATTAATGACAGTTACTTTGTTATGTACCACTCTGGGGTAGAACTTTGACTTTGAATAAAGAATCATTTAATAAATATATTTGAATCAAATCCCAGATTAACCCTAATTAGAGATGGAAAAGGCCCACTAAATCAACAAAGCCAGGATAACATAACACAAGAACTAGGGGTCACCAAATGACATTAATAGGCATCAGGTGTAAAACAAACAAAAGGAAGTATTTTTTCACACAATGCACTGTCAACCTGTGGAACTCCTTGCCAGAGGATGTTTTGAAGGCCAAGACTATAACAGAGTTCGAAAAAGAACTAGATAAATTCATGGAGGATAGGTCCATCAGTGGCTATTAGCCGGGATGGGCAGGGATGGTGTCCCTAACCTCTGTTTGCCAGAAGCTGGGGATGAGAGACAGGGAATGGATCACTTGATGATTCCCTATTCTGTTCATTCCCTCTGGGGGACCTGGCATTGATCACTGTCGGAAGACAGGATACTGGGCTAGATGGACCTTTGACCTGACCCAGTATGGCCGTTCTTATGTTCTTATGATACAGTGTTCCCTGATGGAGGGATATTAAAACCGAAAGAATTCCCAGTTCTCAGTCACGCATCTGATTCATAGGGCATCAATGTACTCAAAAGTATGCTGCTGATGCAAGAAAAGGCTCCTTTCATGAGATGGGGTTCCTGGTCTTGAGGGATGCGAAACGGGGTATCCGCTGATTCCAGACCCAGCTTGGCTGGTTGAATCCTTCCCCGCTCTGATCAGCAGTAGCTTTGTGCAGAGTGGAAAGGGCGTGATCTGCAGCCCCTTGCTCATTATTACTATTTTTATTACAGTAAAGGCTAGAAGGGCCAACTGAGATCAGATTCCTAGTGGATAAATACACAGCACTAGATAGTCTTTGACCCTGAGAACTTATGATCTAAACAGAAAAGACAGACTAGAGGGGGAAGTCGAGGACCAGAAAGGGGAAATAACTTGGCCAACTTTACACAGCAGGTCAGAGTCCAGAACAGAACCCAGGTTTCCTGAATGCCAGGCCAAGGCCCAATGCACTGAACCACACTGTCTTGTCTTTCACCTCTCACATGTGATGTAGGGGAGAGAGACACAAAACTAGCCCCTCTGGAGCTGAGAATTCTTTTTCCAGTTTGCCATGCGGTATTGTTGCAATTCCCCACACGATTCCCGTTCCAGTTGTGCTGCCTAGTGACGTTCTGCTGCGCGGTGGTGTTCCCTTGGGATGTTGGGTTGTCGCCACTGTACCCTGAAAAACCACGAAGGATCGCTCCGTGTCTTATCCAGGGTGTGAGCTGGATGTGCTGTGTACAGTAGAAGGGCCCGAAACGCAACGTCTGTGTCAGAATCCAGACCCTCCCCAGGTTCAGCGGGGTTCACCTCTAAGGTTTGTTTCAGCCCCATCATAGAGACCGGACTAGCCACGAAGTCTGGAGCCGGTATCAGTGGTGTTCTGACCCAGAGTTTTGGTTCCCACCCTATTCCTTTATCGAGATGTACAGAAGTTGCAGTGTGCTGGGACAGGCATCCTGCAGCTGTATTGAGAAAATTCTGAGAAGTGCTAGGATCCAGGCCCTTTGCCTCCTTAAGAGAGTCACATTCCTAGGAGAGAGGACAGTAGGGTTACAAGTTCATGAGGCCTTCCCTACACAACTGACACATTTGGAGACAGCCCTCCCTTAACGTCATTGCGTAGTGTCCCGTGGAGGGAACACCCTCCCGCCCCTTGTAGAGAGGGACCCTTTTTTGAAATGACAAGCCAAACTTTGCAACTATGTGTAAATAAAGGAAAGACGAAACCAGCATTAAAAAAAAAAAAGCAGCGACCACCAAACGATATAATGATTTTTGTTTCTAAATTTTATTCTGTTACAGGGATGGAGCACCATCCATCCCGGCCCACAAGACTTCTGGGAAGCCAAGAAGAACAAGGTATTCCCATTTCAATATTACCAGACAAGCTGCCATGCAGCTACCAAGTTTATATATCTATATATCTAGAGTTAAAACACCCACCGCCAAAATCTAATTGCAAACTGCTCTATGTACTCTGTCAGCAGGCAGTGCCCTTCCCCCCGTGACTAGCCCCTAGACCAGGTGGGAGTAGGGAATAGATTCAACAACAGTGTCCCAAGTCTACATGACTTCCCTGACAGCCACTAAAGAACTTGTCCCTGGCACCCTTCTCCCAGATTGCATGATAATAAGCAGTCCATTTGCTTGAATCCCAAAACTGTATCCTCAGCTTTCCCTCACAGCTACCTCCTAGTCCCCCCCCCAGCTCAATCCACCCCATTGTATTCTCTGCACCTAAAAAAACAAATGGCCCCCTCCTCTTTCCAAACACCGACATTTCATTTAGAACATCTCTCTCCTGTGGACGAGGTTCAGCTGTGGTTAGGTTTCTCCAGGCACGGGGGAGAGGGGGAAGTGTTCTCGCACGCGGTGACTAGCAGCAGATAAAATACTGTAGAGATCATCGCTGGAAAGAGCTTGGGATCCAGGATGGAGAGGGAAAAGGAGGCAAGGAAGAGCTGGTGGAGTAGAGGTGTCTGCATTAAGGAAACCTGGGACGGAAGGGTTAAACTCAGTCCCATCATCAGGTTTGCTTGCTCTTGCAAAGTGCAAATTCTGTTTCTCCCTCTCTCTACCTCTCACCTTCTCCTTGAACTTCTGAGCCACAGGCATATTACCTCACCCGCTTGGTCTCTCTGATATCCTGCAACACTGCACGCTTGTGTAACTAGGAATCATTTTACAGCTGTAGTTTGTCTTCGCCAGGGCACATCTAGAGATGCAGGATCCTCTTTATTGTCAGGGATGAGCATTTTTGTCTTAAAAAACAACCACCAAACCTACCAAAAAGTGCAAATCTCTGTGGCAGGGTCTAAAAGTCGTCCTCCGTCCGGCGGCTGTTGGCGGCCTGCGTGAGACGCATTTGTGGGCCTCAGCGCGGAGCCTACGCGTCACAAATACCCTGGCTGCGAGTAGCTTAGCCGTTGGCAATCTCAGCTGAGACGCCACAGTATGAATGGGCCATGGAGACAGAGCTCATCTCCCATCCGCAGAGGTGGTCCCTGCAGGTTCAGGACTGAGGCGGTGTTGGGAGGTCTGCACTGCCCATTAGGGTGGATAAACTGAGGGCTTTGGCTGACAGGACTGTTGATCCGGCCCCTGGCAGTCCAGTCTCTTGTCCATGCATGCGTCCAAGCAGGGATCCCCTGGGAAGCATCCACTGAGTCCTTGGTCTCCTTGCAACAGCAGCCGTGGTCTGGCGTTTTTTGCTAGGTGTTGCCTTCCGGCTCCTTCCTTTGACCCTGCCTTCCCTTGCCGTCTGTTCATTCTTTGCGTTGATATCTGGTTTCTGTGGCCCCTCCCTCACTTGAGGGGGCGGGCCTTTTGTTCTGGTAGACTCCGCCCACCAAGCCCAGTCATCAAATAGGCCGGCACCTTGCATCTCAGGGGCGTAGGCTCTGCTCCACTCAGAACACCACTCAAGGAGCTGCCGAGTACTTGCTGCTCTGTCATCTCCCTGCTGTGACCTATGTGCAGCAGACACCCCAAGCATGTTCTCAACACTAGTTAAAAATGCATCGGTGAGAGGAAAACAGCAACACCCCTGGCATGTCTGCAGATAGCAGCCTATTGCCTGGTCTCCTCCAGACGTTCAGAACAGTGATGGTATGAAGAGTGTCCTTTGGGTCACTGGGGCACTAGCACCTGGGTTTAATCAGCTCCGTTCCCTTCACACGGCGGACAAGTGTCTTTTGATTGGTTCTGTTTGTTTTTGCTGGCAACGCTGACCTAAAAAAATTGGACCCTGCGGCATTTCTAACAAGCGTCCTTAACTGATTTCCGTCCTTGGGGCTCGGGAGTATCACTTGCTAACACGTGCCCATACAGGCCACGTGGGTCTTTAACATCCAGTGCTGAATCAATAGGGAATAGCTCTCCAGTCGATAACACAGCCTGGGAGGATGAGCTAATTATCCCCCTGCGCAGCTATGACAGAGCGGTCCGGTCAGCGCACATCTGCCTTTCGCCCATGGTGGGGCGCTGCAAGGCTCCAGAGCTGTGGGACTGCTCCTTAGAAGCATGCCCTGAGCCCAGCACAGAGCCTGAGGGGCCAGGCAGTGCTGCAGGATGGGGGAAAGTGAGAGGAATTGCCCCACTCACTTGCAGGGTAAGGAGTGACTGCAGCTCTGAAGCCAACTATGTGGGGGAGAGCATGAGCAGAGCTGCAGGGCAGCAGATCCCACCACCAACTATGCCCCCCCTCCCCCGCAACAACTGCACGCTGCCATACAAGGCAGGGGCTTGCAGGGAGCATTGTTCTGTGCCACGCACTGCTCCTCTCTGCTGGAGAACGGCACAGATTCTGCTAGAAGGGGGCCTTTTGTGGCCACCGGGATGGGGCTGGAATGGTTGTTAAGGGGCTGTCCAATTTGAGCTTCAGCCCTCTGCTGCGGCTGCTGCCAGCGTCTCTGTGAAGTCCTGATGCTTTGAGGCCTTACAAGAAAGTTGGCTTCCCAATCTGGGGCACAGGAGCAGCTTCAGGGGGCAGGGGGGGATAGCTCAGTGGTTTTGAGCGTTGGCCTGCTAAACCCAGGGTTGTGAGTTCAATCCTTGAGGGGGCCATGTGGGGATCTGGGGCAAAATCAGTACTTGGTCCTGCTAGTGAAGGCAGGGGGCTGGACTCAATGACCTTTCAAGGTCCCTTCCAGTTCTAGGAGATGGGATATCTCCATTAATTATTATTATTATTATTTATTCTGCTGCAGAGATCCCTCCTCTGGAAGTGTGAGGCTGTGAAACTAACAGCTGCAGATGGTGCATAGAGCTGGGGGGGAGGTACACGTGCTGTGATTTGATTGTCTCGTTTTTGTGAGTGCCCCGGCGATGGGTGCAAATGTGCACGTGGAGGGGAGAACCCAGGCCATGTAGCAATCTGGTTACGAGTAAAACCTTGCCTCGTGTTTAGGATGGCGCGGTTCCGGATTCATTCCATCCGCCCCTCGGGTGCAATGTGCAGGAGATGTGAAATCCAGCGCGGACACACAATCTCCACCCTTTCCAGAGCAATCGCTGCTTTCGCAGGCATCTTTGGAAACCATTCAAGCTCCAACCACCACTTTGTGTTTGCAGATCCCATCACTTCAGCATGTGGTGTCCCCCCGTGGGACACTTGCAGGAAAACAGGGGGGTAAATTCACTGATATGTTCCATCTGCTTCGCACTGCTCCGCTGACGGGACCCAACTGCAAACTCGGCTTTAGCAGCTGATGAAACCAAGTTGACAGCTGTTTTGCCTCACTTGAATATACCAGTGAAGGTGGCCTCAAATCTCCCTTTCTAAAGAGCTCACCTGCTGCTCTGGCCTAGTCCTGTACGATCTGGCCTCCCCCAGCACTAGTGTTCTGTCTAGTCTCCTGCGTGACCTCCCTTAGTGAGTTACCCCCTTCCTGAAGTGCCCCCACATCAGAATATTTTCCTGAATGTCTAAGATAAGTTTTCACTTTCCTAGTTTCAGGCCCATTACTTCCTTGTTAAATCAGCTAATCCCCCGATTCTTGTATGTTACTGCCTCCTCCCCCCACACGTTCAGCATGTATCAAACCCATCACGGTTCTGCATTCTGTGGCCCATCAGAATTCATGGTGACAATGGGGAGAGAAATCTCCTATAAATCCAAACATTTACCCACAAGACTTGTTTCTCAACTGCCTAGTAACATAGACAATGCTAATGGCTAAAAAACAACGTGAATAGAGACTGTTAATTGGGCAGAACTTTCTGATATGGGTATGAATCCACTAAAGACTGGAATGAGACCATTGTGCTAGTTTTCCTTTGTGACTTCATCCAGATGTGCACCCACATGTGTGATGCCTTTCGTCCTCGCTGGGGACGGAGGTCGAATTCAGCGATGATGGAAAATTGTAGCTATCGCTTTTCATTCTTGTCAGACCTTTCGTTTTCACATGGTTGGTAAGAGGAGCGGATGGAAGGATGAGCTTAGAAGCGGTGAGGTGTTTGTGTGTGAAGCTGTGGTTGGAAAGGAGAGAGGAGGATGTACCCATGTCAGAAGAGGTGGGGAGAAACCATACTCTGATATTGGGGAACTTCCCCTCTTTAAAACAGACCACGAAACAGATTATGCTACTCCGTCACTCCTTGCGACCATGGAAGCTCTGAACCGGCAAGTCAGCAAGCTTCCTCACTGGGAATTTACTGCGGGGTTTCTGTTTTGTTTTGGACCTGGGGCATTTGATGACAACGTGCTACCTGCTTCTGCTAACCAGGTGTCATTGCCTTGACCTGCCGGGCTGGAGCAAGTCTGCCTCAAGGGTTTAGACTTGGGTTGAGCAGAATTGAGAGTTGGCTTTCCACCAGCCACAAGCACAGACTGCCTGTGGAACAAACTTTTTGGTGTACTGCTTTTCAGCAGTGAACAGTAATAACAACAATACTTATATATTCTCTCTCTCTGGCTTCTCTGTGTCTGTTCCATCTGTTGTCTATCACTTATATCATCAGCCAGATTCACTTTCGTCACTAGTGAAACCTGTTCAGGTGTCTCCTGTCCCATCATGTTCTGTAAGATCTGCTCTCTCCATACCCACATACAGCTTCTCATACCTGAGGGCATTCCAGTGGGTTTCCTTTGGGTTAGGATTCATAGAGCTAAGGTCAGAAGGGACCATTGTGATCATCCAGTCAGACCTCTTGAGGTCACAGAATGTCACCCAGTGACTCTTTCATTGGGTCCAATAACCTGTGGTTGAACCAGTGTGTTTATTTAGAATGACTTCCAGTCAATGTAAAAACTCCTGATGAGGGAGAATTTAGCCTGTTCCCTTGGTAATTGTTACTTTCAGCGCAAGGACTTGTTGTCTGCACTCTTTCTTCGGAACTCGCTGCTATTGTATATTAGATCTTTGGAGCTTAAGTCATTGTTAAAATCCCATTTGCTCAGGGCTGCCTCTGCCGTAAGTTTTTAAATTGGGGTTTTTGGCTTGCTCAGCGTCATTTGTAGCCAATTTGTCTCCCGTAACATGCCCAAAGGAGTTCCAGTGAAGGGGGCCGCATCTGTGAGATTGAATGAAAGGTTGACATTATGAGCAATAAAGTTCTAGGCTTATGACAGTGGAGAGAGAGAGAGGCACCTCCGTCCCCCAGTAACAGGGAGACTGAGGGTCTAATGTCAGCCTATAAAAGGAAATAGAAAAATTCAAGTCAGACCAGGGCCAGATCCTAGGCTGATGTAAGATCAATTGGATCTATGCTGCTTTACCACGGCAGAATATCAGGTTCGGACTCCCCACTTAGCAGATGTTGAATTGTGCCTTTAGAGATGTAGCAAACACAGTACAAAACTTTAGATCAGTTTGCAAAACTAAGTACTTATTTTTACCTAGCACCTTTTAGCTCAAATATCAGAGGGGGTAGCCGTGTTAGTCTGAATCTGTAAAAAGCAACAGAGGGTCCTGTGGCACCTTTAAGACTAACAGAAGTATTGGGAGCATAAGCTTTGGTGGGTAAGAAACTCACTTCTTCAGACTTGCATCTGGAGGAGTGAGGGTCTTACCCAAG